CGGCTCCACCCAGCTCCTGGAGGACGGGTGCTCTGGGCAGAGTGACCAGGAGGTGGCAATGTCCCTCCTGATCCCCGCCTGCCTCCTCTGCACGCTCCCTAAGGAAGTCCCCGGCTCAAGGGACACACTGACCATTTTCCCCTTATGGCTTCAGACGATGCGTTCCTCATCCATGGAGAAACACATCCTAACCTGCCCCTTTCCCCCTACGCCAACAGTGCCACAAGAGCTGCCCCACCGCTCAGGAGAGCATCACGGGCAGCAGGAGGGCAAGAGGCTCCTGCAAACCTGCATCCCTTCCCAGCCGCGAGCCCCCATGCTCCCGGACAGTAAGTGGAGAGCACCCAGACCCCCCTAAGGAGGAGAGTGGATGCAGAGCCCAGGTGGGTATAACCCAGGGGATGTCCCCCCCAAGCTGCCCAACAGATGCTCCACTCTCAGCCCATCCCGGGATGCTCCTAAGGAGCTGGGAAAAGCAGGGGGGGAAGCAGTGAGCCAGGGTTCTGGGACTGCAGGTGGCACTGGGTGCCGTATCCTTTGCTTTTGCCAGGCAAAGCCTTGTCCTGTGTGGGAGGGAGTGGGGAGACAGGGATGAAGTGGGGCACGGGACCATCGCCATGCTCCGTTTACCTGCTGGGGAGAGCAACTTCGGCCAGCGAGCCGAGGGCCACCCCTCGCCTGAGGCGGATGAAGGTGGTGAAGGGCTTCTCCAGGAATTCAACTTCACCGACGGCAACATGGGCTGCTTCAGCCCCTGGCGGGACCTTCTTCTTAAATCGGTTTCTCAGCTGAAAGGAAAGGGATGCCGCGGCTGGGCACTCAGGATGCAGCAGCTGCTCCCAGCCCAGCTCCGTCCTGCCGTACCTGCTCCTTAAGAGGCGTTTCGGAGAGCTGGACTCCCAGCTCAGACCAGCTTTTGGCTTTCCCTGCAATGAAAGGGAGCAAGCAGCAAAATACATGTGCAAGCAAACGGCCGGCATGGGTATTGCCCCAGGCTGGTGGCAGCAGAGGGATGGCCGGTGGGACAGCCATGTCGCCACCCATGGCCGAACGCTGTGCCTACCTCGGCAGGGAGAGAGGCCGAGCTCGGCAAGGAGCCGCAGCGGGGATTTGGTGGGCTGGTGCCGTGGCTGGCGGAGCAGGAGGGCTGCCAGGCGCTCCCTCAGCTCGGTCTGCAGCTCTGCTTCCTCAGGCTGCCCGGAAAGTGCCTTGTCTGCAACAGGGATGGGGACAGCCCTGAGCCCCCCCTGGTTCGCTACCTGGTGGGGGGCTGCCCAGGGAAAAGTGCACTTTGCTGGAGCAGCAGACAGCCACCCCAGGTACCCAGCTATCATGCATCAGTGCTTTTATATAGGGACCTCCTGGTGGCCCGGTCCCTTTCTGGTGACCAGCCCATCCCAGGAGGTGACCTTTGCATTCCCCACATACCGATTATTTCCTTGAAACTGGTGGCATCCAGATCCAGGAGCATCGTCCCCTTCTGCAGGCACGTCCTCAGCTGGAAGAGGCTCTGCAGGGGGAGGGCTGGGACGTGGGGCGCACTCCAGCGCTCCCCGCCATCCTCCACCTTCTCCTCGAACTTCACCCACCTGCCCGGGGAGATGTGCAGGGTCAGCGGCAGCGTAGTCCCGTGCCCCATGCCAGGCAGGGGGAGCTGGAGCTTGGGTCCATCTCCGAGCTTGGCATGGGGCTGGCACAGGCAGGGAGGGGCTTGGGGGGCTCAGAGGGGGCTGCAGTGTGCTTGTGGAGCAGGGGCAGGTGGGCAGCCTCAGTAGTCACGTCCCCATTCCTGCTGACCCACACCTCACTCCAATCTCCTGATCAGGGGGATTTCACCAGTCATGGGATCACAGAAGGGTTTGGGTTGGAAGGGACCTTCACACACCAGCCAGTCCAACCCCCCGCCATGGGCAGGGACATCTTCCACTAGATCAGGTTGCTCAGAGCCCCGTCCAATCTGACCCCAAACACTTCCAGGGATGGGGCATCTACAACTCTTCTGGGCAACCTGTTCCGGTGTCTCGCCACCCTCACCATAAAACATTTCTTCCTTATGTCCAATCTAACCCTGCCCTCGTTCAGTTTAAAACTGTTGCCCCTTGTCCTGTCACGACAGGCCCTGGTAAAAAGTCTCTCTCCATCTTTCTCACAAGCCCCCTTTATATACTGAAAGGCCGCAGTACGGTCTCCCTGGAGCCTTCTCTTCTCCAGGCTGAACCACCCCAAGTCTCTCAGCCTTTCTTCACAGCAGAGGTGTTCCATCCCCCTGACCATTTTCGTGTCC